TTCCCCTTCCAACCTCTGTCTTGTATCTTGCCTGCTCTGTCACTTAAGTTAACATGTGTTTACCCTCTTTTTGTTGTTGTTAAATACCATTGAGTGGTTCTGACACCCAGAGACCCTGTATAGAATTTTTGAAGAGTGGCTGGTGGGTTTGAACCTTGTGGTTAGTAGTCCACTGCTTATCCTACAACTTTCCCTGTCACTCCTGATAATGTTTAGCAAGAAGGCCTTTTAACTTTTTACAAAAGTGGTCTCATACAATATTCTTTAACTATTTTTTTGAAGATTGGGGTGTTGTGGGCCCCTTTGATCCACCAAGCAAAGTAAGAGATGTGCAAGACCAAGGAAAGCATTCCTCTTCTCCCAGCTGGTCCTTGACCTGCGAGGTGCTCTGTGCCTGCCTCATCTTCCGTCTCCAGTTGCCTCATCCTGTGTGGGTAACTTTCACTGTCTCTCTGATTATCCCAGCCCCTTCTCTTCCATGATCCCACCAGTCTACCAGGGGAATCAGAAGCCCCTGAGTGAGAAGCAGATGGGAAGCCCTCCACATTCATTCAGTGGGAATTGATAGCCTGCGCTACATCCCCACACCCCTGTCTCCTCAACCACCTCCCAACTCTGCCCCGCCTTTCACCCACTTGGCTGGCTCAGATGGCCTGGGCGCCAAGCCATCCAGGCTGGCCTCCTTTGTCCCCAGTCAAGTGCAATGATCACAGTGAGGTCCTTTAGAAGGTCCCTAAGAAGCTGAGGTCGTCAGTGCTGCTTACTGAGTGGATGACCTCTTCTATGAAGCAGGAGGAAAGCATAGGAACCTGGTCTGTCTCTGAGATTGCCCCTTTTCCTAAGTGACTTTAGAGCCTGTCATGTTCTCTCACAGTGTATCCAAGTAGTGAGACAATAAACAGTAGAGGAGCAGGAAGAGGGACAGCTGGAGGCAAGGCGGTGTCTGGTATGGACAGGCTCTGCAGCCTTCAGGGCCCATGCCCTGTGGCTCCTGCCTCTACAGTTTGCTCTTAATTCAGGCCTTTCTCTTCTCTCTCCAAAGCATTGTAGGAGCTTCTTAACAGATCCAGAGTCTCTCTTCTCCACTCCAGCCAGCCCCAGCCAGCCTCCAGAATTCTCTTTGTACATTTTGCATCAGATGAGCATGTGCTCCTGTTTTATAAGTCTCCAAGTCTCCTCCATGATGCAGTCCTCCATCCTTACTGTGGCATGTGAGAGCTGCTACAGCTTGAACCCCTGCTTACTACTGGCCACATCTAAGCCATTCCTCACTGTTGATTCATTCATTCACTCGAGCCTTTAGGAAATGGTTTTCTGGGCCCTGGTGGCACAAACGGTTTATACTCAACTGTCAACCTAAAGGTGAGTGGTGTGAACTCATCCAATGGGTTTGCAGAAGACAAGACTGGCGATCTGCTGCCACTGAGATTGTAGCCAAGACATCCCTATAGAGTACAATTGTCTGCCCACACACATGGAGTTGCCATGAACTGGAATAACAATTAACAACAATGCTCAGCGCCAGGCACTGTGCTGTGCTGGGATCTGCTGGGACCCTTGGTCCATCCACAATTCTCACCTGCCTTTCTGGGCTTCTGGATCATTCCACAAGTTCTTTTTTCAGCCTGCAAGTCTCCTCTGTGGGCTATTTCTGGGGTCTCCCATTCAATACCACTGTCTCCTCTGAGCTTTGCACCTTGTTAAAAAAAACAACAACAGTGATCTCTGCTGTTTTCATTCACCTTTTCTGGGTTGTTGTTGTTGTTGTTAAGTGCCGTCGAGTCGATTGGTGGGGAATTAACAATCTTAGTTCCATTTCAGTGTGCTCTTCCTGGGTGTTTGCTTCATTCTTTCTGATACTAAGGACTTTATTTTATTTATTTATTTTGAATATTTGCTTCCACTTCTCACAGCTGGAAGTGTGTTCTTTTTGTATTTGGAATTAGTGGAATGAATGATACCAGTTCTGGGAAAGCTGATCTGATTGAATTCTTAGTGGGCAGGCTGGAGACATAAGGAATTAAGTGTGGGCAGAGAGTGGGGGAGAAGGAGACTGTAGAGTTCCTTACTGTCCCTGTCCCCAACCAGTCTGCCAGGGTGCTCTTCCTATCACCCCACTTCATCATGGTGTTCTCTTGTGGAAGACTCCCCACAGGTTCCTCCCCACTGACTTCATTCAGCGAGGTCGTATGATTGATGGGTGAAAGAAAACTAATGGTGGCAATTCTAACCATGTGAATTTGACCACTTCATCTTAGGCCCGAATTGCTTCACTTCTTAATAGACAATATGCAAATAAAATTCTGGTGAAGATCAATCAAAAACTATTGCAGCAGTTCATCAACAGGGAGTTGCCAGAGATTCAAGCCAGATTCAGAAGAGAGCATGGAACTAGGGATATCATTGTTGAGGTCAACTGGGTCTTGATTCAAAGTAATGCCTATCGAATGATGTTTACTTGTTTGTGCTTTATTGGTTATGCAAACGCATTGGACTGTGTGGATCATAGCAAACTATGGATAACATTGCAAAGAATCGGTATTCCACAACACTTAACTGTACTCATGAAGAACTTGTACATAGACCAAGAGGCAGTAGTTTGAACAGAACAAGGGAACACTGAATGGTTTAAAATCAGGAAAGCTGTGTGCCAGGATTATATCCTTTCATCATATTTATTCAATCTTTATACTGAGCAAATAATCCGAGAAGCTAGATTTTATGAAGAACAGCGTGGCATCAGGATTGGAGGAAGACTCATTTACAACTGCAGTATGCAGATAATTCAATCTTGCTTGCTAAAAGTGAAGAGGACTTGATACACTGGAAAATATAAAGCACTTGAATGACCAAAACGAGAGTCTTCAGTATGGATTGCATCTTAAGGTAAAGAAAATAAAAATCCTCACAACTGGACCAATAAACAACATCATGATAAACAGAAAAGAATTAAGTTGTCAAAGATTTTATTTTGCTTAGATCAACAATCAACACTCATGGAAGCAGCTATTAAGATATCAAATGGCATATTGCATTAGGCAAATTGCTGCACAAGACCTCTTTAAAGTGCTCAAGACCAAAGATGTCAGTTTGAGGACTAACATGAGCCTGACCCAAGTCATGATATTTTCAATAGTCTCATATGCATGTGAAAGCTGGACAGTGAATACAGAAGGCAGAAGAAATGTTGCATTTGAGTTATGGTGGTGTTGAAGAAGAATACCAAAGGTACCATGGACTGCCAGAAGAACAAACAAATCTGTCTTGGATGAAGTACAGTCATAATGGTTCTTCAAAGGGAAGGTGGCAAGACTTGGTCTCTTGCACTTTGGACATACTATCAGGAGGAACCAATCTTGGAAGAAGGCATAATGCTTGGCAAAGGGTAGAGTCAGTAAAAAAAAGGAAGAACCCCCTCAACAGTGGGAGCAATAACAGGCTCAAATATATCAATAATTGTGAGAATGGCACAGAGCCGGGTGGGCAGTGTTTTTTGTTTTGTTGTGTACAGAGTCTCTATGAGTCAGAATTGCCTCAGTTGGCACCTAGCAACAACAACAACAACAATAACAATAACAAAGCCATGTAAGGTGACCTAGTGGTGCTGTGCGGTGGGCCTTGGGCTCCTAACCCCAAAGTCAGTAGTTAAAAATGTACCCATTGCTCTTCAGGAGAAAGACGCGGCTGTCTTGGAAACCCCTATGAGTTGTAATTGATCCAATGGTCAGTTGGCTTGAGTTTGGGGTTTAACAGTAGGGTCCCATTAACGTACTGGGTTGGATGAGAATCAAAGAAAGTTGTGCTGGCTCTCCAAGACCTGTTGATCTGAAAGATGTTTGTTGGTAGTTGTCCCCTAGTCTGTTCTGTGGTGAGCTTCTGGTTCATACCAGAAGGAAATTTTGCCCAGTCTTGTGCCATCTCCATGGTCTTTGATAGGCGGAGCCATTATTGAAGGTATTATGTAAATCTCCCGCCTGCCATTGGCCCAGGAGGATCTTTCGAAGGCCAGCGGGGTAATATATATTACTCAAGGATGATACCATGGCCCTTTATTACCTCCTGGTTCCCAAGGCCTTCCCGCGTTCCCATCTCCCTCTGTTCAACCTTTCCCATTCCTCTCGGCACTCTGCCAGGCTATGTTCCCCGGGGCTCCAGAGCAGAACTTTACTTCCGGAGCTGTTTCTGAGTAGTTCCATCAAGCGAAGGCCTAAGGGTCCAGGCCTACAAAGCTAGTTCCTCCACTTGCCTTCAAATTTCCATCTCAACTTCCTAGAATCTGTATAGTGGCCCAGAGAATTAATTGTATGTGGTTCTATATTGTTCCAGGTTCCGACCCCCAACTGTAGAGCCCTAGCCTGGAGGGGGAAGCTGTGTAATGTTCATCTTTGTATTCACTTCCTGCCCCCATGACGTCTAGTACGGGGTGCAGGGCAGAGGGTCAGCCAGTACTTTCTAAGACTGATTACAGGGTTCGAAGCCTGGACGAACCCAAAGACGACTGTTTTTTTCCAGAGAGGCTGCATAAGGCCGCTAGAGAACGTGGACAATGGAGACTAGCGTTCCCATTCTATCAAGCTGTATCTAGCCCAGCCCGTAGCGACTGAAACTGGGTCCGGCCGCGCGCCCCGAGAGTCCCCCTCTTTGTGCTGACATCAGGTGCAAGCCCGGGAACGCGGGCGGTGAGCGGTCGCGCCATATCGCGCATTACCAGGCTTGCAGCCTCCGCGCGCGCCCCCTAGTTCCTAGGGGAAATCTCCCCTGCGCCCCGAGCTACGGCTGAGGAAAGGGGCGGTCCGACACGTAGGGCCGACTCCACGCGGGCGGGCAAGAGGGCGGGGGAGACTGGGACCCGCAGCTCCAGCCCGCTGGCCTTCGAAAGATTTTCCTGGGCCAATGGCAGGCGGGGCGACGCGCCCGGATTGGTGCAGAGGGTCTGCTGATCACTGTGGAAACCTGGGCGGCGGGGAACGCAGGAGGATGCGGAGCCCCGGGCGGGGGGAGCCCTGAGGGCCACTAGAGTTTTACTGGAGGCAAAAGTCCATTGGGGCGGGCCAAGGGAGGAACGGAGGAGGGGACGCTTGGGGGCACTGGGAAGCCAAGGATTCGGACGGGGAACCTCGGGAGGGAAGGCGAGCGGGCTGGGGGAGGGGGCGCGGTGGGAGGCGGAGTAGAAGACAAAAGCCGAAAGCGAGCTGGGCCCGGCCTGCACACTCGGGCAGCTGGGGCAGTTGGTGCCGCGAGCAGCCGGCACCGGGAGGTCGCAGCGCAGGGGGCAGCCCGCTCGGCAGACAGCATGGGAAAGGGGGGTAACCAGGGCGAGGGGGGCCCCGAGCGCGAGGCACCCATCCCCACCTTCAGCTGGGAGGAGATTCAGAAGCACAACCTGCGTACAGACAAATGGCTTGTCGTCGACCGCAAGGTCTACAACATTACCAAATGGTCCAGCCGGCACCCGGGTGGCCACCGGGTCATCGGGCACTACGCGGGGGAAGATGCTACGGTAAGAGTCTGGGGGCTCCCCTGCCACCCTCTTTGCTCTCGGCGGGAGTCCCTAAGCACCAACCAGGTCCCCGACGCCTACAAGCACTCGGTGCGTTCGGAAAGGAAAGAAAGTGTCCGTTGTGCGCGTTCCCGCCCCGAATCCTCATCCCCTGGGTGAATTTGAGGTCGGGGTCCCATTTTGGCAGCGCTGCGGTGGAGAGTCGAGCGGTAGGGCACCTTGCTGTAGCGACCGCGCGCCCTGAGAGCCCCCTTCACGCCTTCCGCCGGACGCCTTTTGAGCCGGGAACTTCCCAAAGGGGGCGCTCAGACTCTGGGATTTTTGGCGCCCCCCGCGTGGAAGATGGCTGCCCCCGGGCGCCATGGGAAGGAGCGGGAGCGGAGTCTGCCAGGTGTGGGCACCCGGCGCGCTTCTGGCGCTCTCCCGCCAGACTAGGGCGGGGTCTAGCCCCATCGTTGACTCTTGTCTAAGGCCCGCATGGCTGCCTGGGGAAGAGACCGCCAGGTAGCTCTTGTTCCCATGCTCCTACAAGGATTACTACAAGAGCCGGCCTTCTTGGGGAGTGGCTGGGGGGTTGACAGAAGGAGGAAAGACTGGAGTTGGCCGAACACAATTAGATAGGGTGAGGGAGCCGGTGGATTTAGTACACCGTCCTGGCTTGGAACAGGTCGCCACTGCACCCGAGGTTACTCTCGGACGTTCTCCTCAATGGCCCTCTGTCTCTAAGCCCTGCTAGGAACGCCCTTTCCTCCTCCATCGATCCTGAAGGTAGTGGGCTCCGGGCCTCCTCGGGGTCAGGGCTGTTCATCTCACCAGCTCCAAATGTGGGGATCCACCATTGCAGCATGGCCCCCAACCCACAGCTTGAGAGCCTTCAATTTCTTTAAGGTGCACCTGGGGCCCCGTGGACTCTGATGGGTTCGAGGAAAAAGAACCGAGGCAAACAGGGAAGAGGAAGGCTTCTCCTGGTAGCAGTGGGCTGGGCGTACTGAACAAGCTGTGTGGCATAGACAACTTGGGAAAGGTGAATGGGGAAAGGGAAAGATTGAAGGAGGAAAGGCTGAAGGGAGGGACACACTGAGGAAGGCCGCTCCACCTGGAAGTCTAGCCTTTGGGCCTTAGCTGAATGGGTGGGACTCTGTCCCACCTCCTTCCTAACCAAGTAAGCCTGACCAACCAGGGAGCAGTGAAACAGCCATTCACGCGCTGGCTCACTGATGACCAGCTTGAAACAGCCCGCTATACCTCTTACAGCTTGTGACCCTACTTACCTCATTGTAAACACTACTGTGTGGTGTTTACAGCCCTGGTATGGTGCTGAAGGATAATGCAAGGGACTGCAAGCTTGGTTTGAACCACAAGGCCGGCAGTTCAAATCCACCAGCTGCTCCTTGGAAACCCTATACAGGGTTGCTATGAGTCGGTACTGACTCGAAGGCACTTAGCAACAACAAGACGACTTAGCCCTCCCTGGGCTGGTGCCTAACTTAGGTAGGTGTGGGTTATCATTCAGCGTACCTCATCTGGACCTGCCCACAAACCTGTAAGGAAGTTGAGTTAGGGTAATCATTGCTGTCACGTTGATTCTGACTCACGGTGACCCCCTGTGTGTCTGCCCTCCAGAGGCTTTTTCTTCATGGAGGCACCTCTGGGTGGACCGGAAGTGCCAGCAGCTAACTGAGTTAACTGTTTATACCACCCAGGGAGGTAGTTGTTAAGGATAATTCCCAATAAAAACATCTGTTTCCTGGTTGGAGTTTTTCCATGCCTGCATGTTGCTGGATTTGTGTTGGTCTGTTCATGATTTCATAGGAACATTATAGAAGCTTCTTGCCCCAACCAGCTTAACAAAAAGTTTCCTAGTAGAAGTAAAAACCGATGGTTAGTGTGAATATTTCTTCTTGTTAAATAAATGTATTTTCCTATATGGAACGTCTCAAGCTGCCGTTTCCTTAGAACTTACTAGTTTGATAATTAATTTTTCTTCAAAGTGTTCTTGTTGTTAAGTGCCATCAAGTCTGTTTCAACTCATAGTGACCTTGCATAACAGTTCCAAGGAGCAGCTGGTGGGTTAGAACTGCTGACCTTGTGGTTCACAGTCCAGTGCTGATTGTTACAGTGCCACACCAGGAGTCCTTAGTACATGCCTAACTAGGTTGTTGTTAACTGCTGCCGAGTCGATTCCGACCCATAGCAACCTTATACAGGGTTTCCAAGTAGCGACTGATGAGTTTGAACCACCGATCTTGTGCTTCATACCAGCTTTGCAGTCCAGCGCATTAACGGACAGCGCCACACCAGGACTCCTCCTAACTATGTTGTGAAGTGCCATCGAGTCGGTTGCGACTCATAGCGACCCTGTATAGGGTTTCCAAGGAGCCCCTGGTGAGCTTGAACCGCCGACCTTGCAGTTCAAACGGCTTTGCAGTCTGGCGCATTAACCCACAGCGCCACACCAGGACTCCTCCTAACTATGAGCTCCCTTTAAAACCAGGGTTCAGATCCATCTTATGAGCCTGCGCTCTCCGGCTCTCTTCTTGTTACCTAAATTTGAACTGAAAATGTAACTGTCTTTTCATTTCTGAACTTGCCCCAGCTGCTGACTACAGGACTCTCATTGATAGTAAATCTGGCATCTTGGATGTTAACGGCCCTGTGACAAAGGAGGACTGGAGTCCAAGTGGAATACCAGGAACCTTGGCGATGAAGACAGATGATTGAGCCCAAGGCTCATCAACTGCCTACTACATGCTAGCAGTTCCAAAACAACAAAACAAAAACTAAAACTAAAAAACCCTACTGCCTTTTCGACTTTTAGCGACTATAGGCTAGAGCAGACCTGCCCCATAGGATTCACAAGTAGACTGACATATCTTTCCCCACTTGGAGCTGCTGAGTGAGTAATTAACAACTGAGTGAGTAACCACCTTTACTGAATCTCTTTCCGCTGTCATTACACCTGTACCTGTGTCCGTGAGGCTGATCGGTAACAGCACTTCATGAACTATTTGTTGTTGTTAAGTGCCGTCGAGTCGATTCTGACTCATAGCGACCCGGTACAGGGTTTCTGAGGCTGTAGATCTTTACGGGAGCAGAAAGCCTCATCTTTCTCCCACAGAACAGCTGGTAGTTTCAAACTGCTGACAGTGAGGTTCGCAGCCCGATTCGCAACCACTATGCTACCAAAGCTCTAGATAAATGCAATTGAGTGTGAGTAGACAAAGGATGCCAGTGAAGGTTGGTGGTGGTGGTGGTGATGATGTGCCATGGAGTCGATTCCAACTTATAGCAACCCTGCTGTAAATATACAACTGAGGCTGTAAATCTTTTAGAAGAGCAGAAAGCCTCATCTTTCTCCCGCGGAACCTCTGGTAGTTTAGAACCGCTGACCGTGAGGTTAGCAGCCCAACTCATAACCACTACATTTCTAGGGCACCTTGCCAGTGAAGGTTATCAACAGTAAATGCTTGCTAACTCAGAAGCAAGGCTACTGGTCTGCTGAAAACTCAGCCACTGGACACCCTAAGGAGCCCAGTTCTATTCTAACACACATGGGGTGCCACAAGTCAGAATGGACTCCTCTGCAACTGGTTTGTACTGTGAAGTAAGCGAAGAGGAATTTGGAGGGGGAAAGTTCTTAAACGTACAACATTTTTCTTTGGTGTAGCAAGATATAAAGATAATTTCTGTCTCTAAAGCCATGAAACACACCCCATGCGGTTTGGTTGAGTAGCCGGGGGTGGACTGCTGGATTTCCTGGCATTCTTTTTTTCTTTTTTTCTTTCACCATCTGAAGCCAGGTTGGAGAAAAGCCATGAGGATCATGGGGAAGGAACTTGGAGAGAGCTCAAACAGGCCAGGAATCTAGAACTCTTGTCATTGTCTAGGCTTAGTGTTAGCAGGTAACTTTGCTCCCTGGGGATGCAGACTTCTTTCTCTGAGCTTGAGGATTGATTAATTGGATCCCCCTTGAACACTTAACTTACCAGTTAGGAACCTTCAGTCAAGGTGTAGTAATAGCCTAATAAGGCTTTAAAGGGGAAGCCATTGTTGGGGCAATTCAGGGTCTTCATAGGGGATTCCCATCTCTGAAGAAAAGACTTCCCTCCACGTGCAGATCAGCCTCTTTTCCAGAAGAAAAACCTCATGAAGGGCAAGGGCAGTTGGCAGAAGCTAGAACTTGGCCTTACTTGCCATAGTACCTTGTTTAATTTTTACAAGTCAACAGAGCACATTCATAGATTGTGCTGGTGTTGGGTGATGTCTCGTCAGTTGTAACTCATAGCAACCCCGTACAGAACAGAACAAAATGCTGCTCCTGCCCCATCCTCACATTCGTTTCCATGTTTGAGCGCATTGGTGCAGCCGCTGAGTCAGTCCATCTCCTTTAGGTTATTTTCACGAACCCTCAACTTTACCAAGCATGAAGTCCTTCTCCAGGGACTGGTCCCGCCTGATAACATGTCCAATGTACTTGAGATGAGGTCTCGACATCCTCACTTCTAAGGAACATTCTGACTATACTTCTTGCAGCGGATTTGTTCATTCTTCTGGTTCTCAAGTCAGCCCTCTAGGATCTCTCACTACTATTATGTTGGAAAGCCTTCGCCAAGCTTTGTGCTCAGACCTAAACTCGAGTCTCTGTTACTGAGTCTGCTCAGTGTACCCTTTCCTCCTACCTTGTCTCCTTCCTTCAACTCTTTTCCTCCCTCATTCCTTCCTTCCTACACCCACCTCTTTGGTTCTCTGGCACTTCTTTCGTCCTCACCCATGACCCAAGACTATCTCTGCTCTTTTCCCAGCTGCATCCTACCATTGTAGAACTCTGTCGTCCTCAACAACAATGTATCAAACATTGGTGGGCGTCTCCATGCTCTGAGCTGGCCCTGTGGACAGAAATGATGAGCTCACAGACAGTGATCCAGATCTAGTGTGTGTGTTATTCTCAAGCTGGGAGCTGAATGTGGAACCCCTGTCTCTAGATGCCACGATCCACCCCA